GGCTCTCCGTCCAGTTCTGCTCACCTGCATGGAGTGACTTCCGTGCGTCATCCCTACCTCTGTCCCTTACCCTACACAGCTACATACCTGCTGCATGCTCTGCAGGGTATTTATTTCCTCCCTACCTTTTAATCTCATTTACTTCTACATATCTTTTAGGTCTCAGTTGAAAGCTAATTTCCTCTGAAATTTATTGCACATCTCCCCACCAACTCATTTTATTGTTCCCACTAGATGTTCCCATAGCACTCTATATTTCCTATATCACGTCTCAGAGGAGACATGAAATTTCTGATGGATTATGCCGACTCGTGGACACATACATTTGTACGTGCTATTTCCTCTGTCGTGTACTGCTGCCCCATCCTTCATCTGCTTATAGTTTCCTACACTTCCCTTAATATTCAAGAGATAAGGTATGCATGGCCTTCTGCAGTTTTCCTTGATGCTCCCATGTAATTCTGCTTCCTCTTTACCCGCTATAACCCTCTATTACCATCACGTTTGTGCTTGCTTGTGCTTAAAGTATTTTACCATATTACGCAGAAGAATGTGCACACATCCCTTTATCTGCTAAATCCTAAGGCCACTGCAAGTGTGAGCTGTGTCTCACTTAACCCTGTAGCAGTGCACTTAAGTGCATGCAGAGCCTTAAACATAATAAGCACTTGCACATGTCGTAAAGAAATGATTCAACTCAGTGGCATAAAGTTGAATTAAATTTCATGAATATTTTCTCCCTTTTATTCAGATGATGAGCATTTTTTACTCTATTGCATGATGTAACGTGTGTACATGAGGTAGAAAGAACATGATGAACATGTTTACCCATACCCTAATCAAGAAGCATAATGCCATTAATAGAGATGTAAAGTTTCCCATATATCTGCACTTGAATAATAGAGAAGATTTTGTAAATGTGTGTGTCATTTGGGGTTGGGCTCTATTCATTTTCTCCGTACTGCTCCAGTGTAGTATGCGCACTGCTGAACTAAGCAGCAGGTCGTGAGCTCCTGCCTGCATTTTGGGCTGTGATCGGGTCTCAAACTGCAGCAAGGCAACTTGCTTCAACTTTTTCAACTGCCCTAGTTACATGCAACACTTGGTGGATTTTTTTCTAGGCAGCTGTCCTTTTGGAGTCTTCGCATGGAATCCAAAGTGAAATTTTTGCAGGTCAAAATAATAAAAAGGGATGCTGAAGAATAACACTTCCAGAAAACTTCAGAGTGTTCTGCAGACCTTATCCAATCTGTGATTTTTATGTGGCTGGAAGACAGGCAGCAGCGAGAGTCTTGTCAGCATGGGGGACTGGAGAAAAGAGTTTTGTGACTTGCCAAATTTCACTGAATCAATCAGCTTGGGAGCCTTGTAAAGAGCCAAGTTTTAGCTTGCAAATTTGAGCCCAGGTCTCCCTGCAGACCCACCTTCTTGCATCTACGGTGAGCTATCTGCTGTGGGGGAAAACAATGGCTTCATCATGCTTCTGTACTTCTGTGTTTCCTCTAATCTCTACTTCTGAATAAGCACAAAGCCATTCCACTTAGACTCTTCAATCACCAAATTTCACTTTTTTGTTTGATTCAAGCTAAAATGAAGAGGTCAGTGCTTATCATCTTGCTATTCATGCAACTCTATTTTTGGCCGACGAATCATCTGCTCTGCCCTCTCCAGTGCGGAGCTTCACTTCCCCATCCTCTCTTCTCCCTCTTTTGTATTGCTTTTCCAATGCTCAAACCTCTCCTCTACCTTCTCTTTTGTTGTTCACTTTCTTTTCTATCCTTCCCCAGTCATTCTCTACCTCTCCTCTACCATTCTCTTTTTTCACATTTTTATTTTGTTTATAACCACACGTATGCAGTACATAAGGGCTACACTCACTGTGTGGAGTCGGTCCATGGACATAACACATCTTCATTCTTTGTTCACCCCCTTCCTGCCCTGTATTTCTTGGTCCCCTTCCCTTTTGAAAAAGATCTATCTCCTTGTTTTCTATTATCTAGCTTTCTTTTATTTTGCTCTTTATGTATACTGTGGGTTTCTCATATAAGAGAAGCCATGCAATAGTTAAGCTTGTGTGTCTGATTTATTTCACTTAACATTATGGTCTCAAAGTGCATCCATTTTCCTACAAATGACTCAAGTTTAACGTTCTTTATAGCAGAATAGTATCTATGTGTGTAAATACCTCATTTTCTTCATGTACTGGGTTCAGTCTGTATCCCCACAAGCTTCTCTTCTATCGGTTACTATCTTTGACCCTTCCACATATCTTCCTCATTGTTCCATGCCTCTGACGATCTCATTCCATAATGTTCTTTTCTGTTTATATCTAATGTATTCTATTCTTTTTTTGGTCAATTTCCTGGTTGTTTTTGTGGTTTTTTTCTGGTACTGGGAATTGAACTCACGACCTTGAGCTTCCAGGCAGGTGCTGTGCCGCTGAGCTAAATCCCCAGCTCCTATTGTATTCTATTCTTAACACAAATATGTGAATTCACATTTCCTCCCCAAATTCTTCTCCTTTCTGCATTTTAATACAAGCATGCCTCTCTTCCATGTATTCCTCTACGAATGCTCTACTCTGTCCAAATTCTCTTTCATATATTGTAACTATTTGTGTCTCTTTGCTCTGCCCAGCCATGGCAGTCAAGTTGTACTAGCCACTTCCGTGGCTCAGGGGCTGCTTAGAGGATGAGTAAAACATGCTTCTGAGTGTGCCAAGATACCTTAGAAACCAAGAGCCAAATAAACCTCTGCTCCTTTAAGTTGTGTACAGCAGGTACTTTGTCTCAGCAGTGAGAAAACTGACCAATACACTTCTCTCCTTTTCAACATTTACACAGTTTCACGCACTGTGAGGTGCATCCATCTTTCCTCACAGGTAAACTCCAATGAGTTTTGATACTACCCTTTATGGCTTCCTCTGGAAGCTTCCTTTCACATATCATTCCTACTGTCTCTTCAACCTTTATTTTCTGCTAGGTCATTTATGGGGTCAAACAAATATGAGCCAGTCCCTTCATTGCAAACAAGGGCAGTCTTTCTTTTGACCATGAAGGTAGCCATTCCATATCCCTTCCTTTCAAGTAAGTTTTTGGAAATTATTCTCTGTATTCACTGTCTCTACGGCCAACACGCCAACTCTTAAAAACTCTTCATTGCACAACTGGCTCAAAGGTCATCACTGTGGAGGCAACGTGGCAGACCCCGACCTGGCACTTAGCGGTTTACCATCCTCCCTCAGAACTAACACCTGCTGCTTTCACTCACTTTTGTTGGCCACAAGAGGGCATTTGTTCATGCCCAACTTTGAGGCTCAAGGGAGCTACAATACCGCCATGCACCCAGAAGGAGACGAACTGAGAAATACTGGAAAGTGGCGATACTGACTACCACACTCAGCTTCTGAGATACCGTGCACTAGTGACTCTATTTACACTTCTCTGACTTTTCTTCTGTCTCTTCAATAGGTTCCTCTTTACTCCTGCCTATTAATCCACTGCTCTAAATTATAGCCTTATTGCTTCTCTGCCAGATGACACCAGCTAACTCCTAGCCATTTTCCCCTAATCCTAGTCTTGTTTCCTTCAAACACATTCCCTACACAGTAGCTACACTGCTGTATGTAAAACAGAAAAAGAATCAACTCATTCTTTCACTTCAAGTGTCTCCCAGTCCCTGAAACTGCTCACTTGGCTTTCTGACTAGAATGTCTTTCCTCTATTCCTCCTTCTTGCTTACCCACATCTTCTATCTTCCTTTCTTGTTCACGCCCTCTTCTTCTCCACCTATCCGCTTTTCCCCTGTTCTCCTGTGTTTCTATTCTACTCTACATGCATTTCTAATCTAGTTGCTCATCTCCTCCTCTCTTCTTTAAATTTTCTCTTAACTCTTCATTTTTTATCATTTTTCTCCCTTGGACATCTTCTTGTGTCCCAGATTCTTATACTAAAAACAGCAATAAATAACAAATTTAAGGAGGGCCTAGTATGCAGGCAAACACGCTTCAGTTATTTACCACCTATTTACCAGACATACATTGAGTTTCACTGTGCAAAATAAAATACACAAAATTGAAGTAGCCACAGAAGCTGCACTGAGGGATTGCACTTATTCATTCAGTACAGGTTCGCTCTGTTACCAGAACTTATTAATGTGGGAGGAGACCACAGGAAGTGATTCAGCAGCACAGGAACTAACAAAAGGGTAAAGAACCGTAAGAGTTTGTCAGTACTGCGGCAAAGACTCTTACTGCATTTCAAGCACTTCAAAGTTATTCTTTTTGATAACAAATTTTAATGTCTAACGACTCTAGTGATAGTATTGGGTCATGAAATATATGAAATTGTGATAGTCTATTTTGCAACTGAGGTAGACAAGTATGCAATATTCTTATATTTCTGTACAGCATATTTCAATGTAATATGCTGTACAGATATAATCTGAAGTTGTTTGGGGAGTTTATTTCACATTCCTTAGAATCCCCAGGCAATGTTACATAAAATAAAGAATGCTGAATTTTTTATTTATGTACATAAAGCATTATATGTTTCAAAAACGGGTATTATTATTTCATTGGATTCTTATTATTCTGCATCATAGGGGAACTGTGTTGAAGCAGTCAAACCTAGTATATTCTGATGATTACAGTATTCATGCTTGTGTATGTATTATAGCAAGTTTGTGTGTTTAAGTGCCTTTGAATATGTTTGTGCCTGTGTAGCAGTCACATGTATTTTTGAGTATGCATACATTTATACAATATGAACATATATGTCTATGTGTCTGTGAATGTTTACATGTCCAAATATCTATTTATATGTGTATCTAGCACATCTACATCTGTACATTTAATATTAATGTGTTAGGAAGTGTATATCCACATTTCTAGTCTATAACCTTAAAGGAATTTTCAGTAGATACCCTAAAACCTGCTACTTTCACCCCTAGTAATAACCGCAATACACTGTGAGTGAGACCTCAATATCTCGTTCTCTGACCTCATTGTGTAGAGGAGGGTCCCGTTGTCCACCAGTCTGAGTAGCTTGTTGGGTGTGGTCATATTATGAGCCACTGATTTCTTGCCGTTGTGGAAGAAGGTATCCGGAGTCCAGATCTTACTAGCCAGGAGATTGTTCAGTGGAAGGATCTTCATGGGTCCATCAAATTTCAGTCTTTCATCATGCCATGTCTGTCTAAAAAACACATCAATGGTGTACTCCTAGGGACAGAAAGAGAGAGGGGAGAATAATGTTTCAGTAGAGTTTGGGTGAGAGCCTTCAGTCCCCTTGGCAAATATTAATTACTTTGCAGTGTTTCCTCTGATATAAAGGAGCACTAATGTGTTGCAGTAATTACTGATGAGTAAGACAAATGATTATGGCTGAAAAACAATGCCATGATGAGCTGTAACTATGCAATAATATAACTACAGGTTTTGTATTAAGACTACCACTACCAACACTGCCCTGTTCACCCTGCAAGCTGACCACAAGATTGCCTACTGAAAAGCCAAGAGGTACCTTCTCCATCCTGTGACAGCTCTAGTCCGAGCATACAGCGTACCTTGTCTTCACTGCTGAATAATCCCATATGAACATCAATGTTCAACATAGCAATAACCATAAAAACAAACCTTATATTTTAACACAAATTTGACCTGGGCATGAAAATAGCAATATATCTAATGGGTTAAGATATTTTCTTTGATACGTAATTAAATATTACAGCTAAATAAATAAAAAGTAACTACAAATAGAAGAATGGGAAAATGAACAGAATGTTAATAAAATTATTAGTAAAAGTGAAAAAATTCAAAATTTTTGCTAATATAAACACAGATTAAACAGCAATAAATGATTGAGGATTTGGTAATAGCACAATAAATTGCTTCAGCACATCTTCCTGTAGCTGTAATTATAAAATAGGAACAATTATGCCTGTCAGTTGAAAGCAATGGAAAATTACAGAGAGCAGACAGAAATTTCGAGTGCATTTACACTCAGAAGAAAGCAGCAGCAGTGTATCAGAATCGTGAGTTAGTGTTTTTTCCCTTTCCTGGAGGTGATCTCGCAAACTTAGGATTCCTCAGGCATTATGATACCCTTCCTGGCTTAGGGTGGTAGCAAAGCTGGACTATCAGGGGTGCGAGTCCTGGAAACAGAAGGTTCACAGAAGCAATGTACATGCAAAGCTGGGTGTGGGCTCAGCTCCAAATCCTGGCTGACCACTCAACTGTAGACCAATGGAGGAAAACCCTGGGGCCCACTGAGAAGCAGGAGGGAAGAACAGAAGTGAGAGAACTGGGCTGGGTGAGGTTTGTGAGTTCACTACTGTTTCGGCTGAAGGAATTTTTCATTCAGGCACAACTCAGGTGGTAGGAGTCTGAAAACACATTAGTTTCACATACCAAAGCAGGTGATCAGGGATGGTGGTGAGGTGAAAACACTTGGGAAGTTTCTGGAAGGAGGAGAACTGCACAGTCAGGGCATAGGCGACACTTGCAGCTATTTCCGGTTTTATGTTTTTATTACTGTATGTTTGCAGAACACAGTGACCAAGTCCTCGTGGGGCGCTGGCGCACACACAGTACGTCTTCATTTTCTTTTCATCCCCTTTCCTCCCCTCCCTCCCTCTCCCTCCCTCTCTTGGTTCCCTTCCCTTTTGCAAAAGATCTTGCTATTTCCTATTATGTATCTTTTCATTTCTTTGTTTCTATTTTGATTTTCCCAAGAAGTTGCTCTAAGTTCTTTGGTTCAAAATCCCCTAATAGCTTCTGATCAGACCTCAAATGAAATTTTCCCTGACATAAGCTGGTCCTTGCCTTTCTATAAGAAATCTGCACTCTTCCCTCTTCAATTAGCCAGTCTCACTTTTCCCTTCCTCTCACATACCAAGTACATCCCTGGCTAAGAATCCAAAGTTAATATAATGTATTGCCTAAACTAAAACACTTTTGACAGTACGAGGAAGCTTTATAAATAACCAGGACAACAGGTGTAAACCCAGACTCTGCCAGAAGAGAAACTAGAACAAGACTCCCACATAGTTCCATGGTCCTGAGAGGCTCTACCCTCAGCAAAAGGATGAAAACTGGATAAAATTAACTAGAAAAAAACCAGCCATAACACCAAAATTCAGAAATAAGGGGAGGAAGGAAGAAAAGAAAAACATTTGAACAGAGCTTGAACAACTTTAAGCTTGATCTTAGGTTGATGTTCAAATGTACATGATGGGCTTGATCTAACGCCTTCAAACTGAAAAATTAGCATAAATTGAACTCAGGCTGAGGATATCACTACATTAACTTGAAAATCCAACCAAAAAACCACTCTGGAGGCACCAAATCACAAATAGATGCTTGCTAATAATAAGCTCCCACTTCACAAGAACAGAACACCTCAGGAAATGGCCATGAGTAAGAGTCAGCTGATACAGCGTATAATCAAGTCAGACTCCCTCCAAGGACTTCATATAACAGAATTATCAAGTAGAGATTATGAACGAAGTATAATTAGCGTTGAAAGGAAAGGGGAAATTAAAATTGTGGGAGAAGGGGTGAAATAGATGGCAAATTTGAAAAAATGGTCTATTTGACGTCAGCCTTCCAAAAAAGAAAAAAGTGATTGGAAATAAAAACTTAATGAATGTGTTACATAGTAGATGGGATGTTACTGAAGCGAGATTAATGAACTGAAAGATACATATGAGGAAAAATTGATCAGTTTACTTTTCAGACAGATAAATGATGGAAATATGAGAGAATAAATCTCTCTGTTCATGGAAGATAAGAGAAAGGTTTAGCATGTCTGTTAACGTTTAAATGTGAAGGACCAGAGAAAATGGTGGAGGAACAATATTGAAAGTGATAATGGATAAAGTTTCCCAGAATTGTTGAAATACGTGGATCTTTAGCCTCAGGAATCCTAATTAACTGAAAGCTCAGTGAATTAAAGTAGAACCAAGCAGAGCCAGTACACAGCAGATTTAGAGAATACCAGAGATCTTCAAAGGGCAGCTGAGGTGGTGTAATCCCAGCACTCTGGAAGGTTCAGGCTGGAGGATGACAAATTCAATCCCAGACTGGACAACTTAGTAGCTTAGCAAGACCTGGTCACAAAAATAAGCTAATAAAGTAAAAAAATTTAAAAGGGCTGGTGGTGTAGCTCAATATAATGGCCCTGAGCTCAACCCTCAGTACTGCAAAAAAGATATGTTATGTACAAATAACATAATTTTGATTGATAACAGACTTCTTGAAAACACAAAGAAGCCAAAAGACAATTTAAACATATCTTCAAAATGTTAAGAGAGGGGCTGGGGATTTAGCTCAGCGGCAAAAGCGCCTGCCTGGCAAGC